TAATAGCAATAATCAGTACATTGGAGTAAGATTTTAGTAAACTCACCATAAATGTGGTAACCGAAAAGAATGGAACATAATTAAACTGAACTAGTCTTTATACCAAATTTATTACAACAATTTCGCAAATACAGATTAATCTATAAAACCTTCCGATGAGTGCTTCCAATTAATAAGAAATTAATAACTTATATGAGCAAGATACATATACCATATATCTCTTCTTCCTCGTCAATCTTCCAACATAACACATAGCATACATATATTCATGAGTTTCCAAATGAATCATTCAATCAATTGAACAACTCGACGTGCTCTGTATTCAATTAATAAACAAATATGTGTGTAATTGAGTGGGAACAAATAAATAATTCCCTTTAGAAATCGCACGATTTCTTAAGTGAGTGAATACGAGTTCCACTAATTGGTTTGGAATTCAATGAATATTACTGTAGCAATTTGCGCTTTAACTGTTTAACTGTAGATGAGCACACGTCAGTGATGAGGTAATTATTTATGGCAAAATTAAGTTGTTTCACACTTGCTATGATTTAATTCTACCACTCAAGTCGTTAAATGACTATAATATATGTGTTTGAGTTGCTTAAGCAATAATCTGATATTGAAAAAAAATTGGAGTACGCTTGTAACAATAACAAATAAATTATTAAAAAAAGATATCCACCTGTTATATAGAGAAGTATATTGTATATTGATTCAAATCTTTTCAACATAAGCCCTTGTCATTGTTATATGATTGTTATAACCCTTAATAAAATTTTGTAAATATTTAATGAAAAGATGTCCTGTTTATTTTATGCCGAAAAGACTTAACGAAGAAGTCGAATGTTGTATGCCTATTACCTATAGCGACTAGTGTAGTAGCTAGGCAACCAAATACCAAAATTTTCTTTGTGCAACCAAGTACTGATTATAAGCTTTTGATAGAGAAACGGTCACTTTTTCTTTATTATGTATAATCATCATACATTTTTGAAGACCAGTTGCCTACACATAGTATAGTATCCAAGAGTTAGGCCAAAAACTTTACACTAGTCTTATAAATGATCAGTTGTCACATTTCTTTAATAATCTTAACAAAGAAGTGAGTAAGCGAAATAACACTGTTATTACTTGATATATTTTGGCTTTAGGTATTCAATCTCTTCCAGAAATTTCTATGCTATTTTTATTCAAATATTTCGAAATCTAACTGTGGAAATATATCCGCTTTTCAATGGAAATTTGGGTAATTGAAAATTAGTCGTTGATTATGACTATATTCTATAGTAAACCAGAGACATTGAAATCGATGAGAAGTGTTCGAAAGTAAATAGTTATCGCTCCGACCTTTCTCGCTACTTCGCTACAAATAACTAGACACTCTCCCCAATAAATCCACAGCAGCTCACTTCTGAGTTCTTTTACTTAACATACGACCAGAGCTATTGCCAAAATACAGAACCGCAACATAATCCTCAAATCGCTAACCTACAGCTCTTGAGAAAAAGACGAAGAAACATTGTTGACAAAATACATGGCATTCTGGCCCGTGATCAACTCCACCACACCTGCATATAGCGAAACCCAGACGAAAAAGCTTCAGCTTTGTCACAATACTGCACCTCGAATGATAACAGCATGCCTCTTGATATCTCCGATTAAACATTTGGACAACTTGGTTCATATTCTAATGGTAAAAGATCAAATGAATTACACTCCAAGCAGTTTTTGCTGAGCTGTTTTCGCTCAAGCGGAGTGGCTTCCTAAGAACATCAAAAGACCTTTCCTCTCAACTCAACTAACTTCAGACACCCACTGGCCCATTTAGCAGTGGAGTCATCAACCGATTTACCAACTTCCTCTCAATGAATGACCTACTTGAAGTCAAAGTAACACCCATTGCAGACGAAGAGCTCGAGTTACCACGAGACTCTAGAGTTACCTTCGCGCAATTTTGTTCTGGATACTGCAGACGATTAAACTCCTACTTATTTAGAATCGGCTCCTACCAAATATGTGTCCAGCGTGCAATGAGCCTCTATCACTTTGCATGTCCAGCGAACTCCATTTTTCTAACGCTTCTCTCTGTTTGGAGTGAACCCTAGATTTACAGTGAAACAACTTTCATAGTAACCTACTCGAACCTAATCTCCTAATGGGTGGTAGCTTAAAGACGATTTATTATGTATCAGCCCAACCCGAACATTATCACCCATGCGGGGAGTACCTTAAAGATGATTTTATTATGTACCTATCAAGTTTTCGAAAATAGTGTTCTGAAATATAATTAGGAAACTGTCATTCTGACTGTACTAACATAAACGAAAAAAAATTTACAGCGCCCAACTGTCGTTGAAAATTGGTTGTCTTTCTAGTACTTAGATCTATATGCATACACAATAATCTATATATAGTAAGTTTTATTATTAAATAGTAACAAGCGTTATCAACGTTTCACTTCTTCTGAGACAGCTGCGCCTTGCACCAATTAATTTCTAGCACATTATTGCTCTAAATACCACACATTCTGTAGAAATCTCGTGCTGCCAATCAACAGCAGTCAATAGTCAATCAAAACAGCAAATGTACAATTCAATTGAAAATATTTGCAAAAAACATTTTGGTGCAAATATATTGTGTAAATAAATCAAAACTCATATGAGTAGCTAAATAAGAAGCACAACCTTCTCGTGTGCCCACATTGCTGCCACCACAAGATTTTATAATGTCTTAGTCATGCGTGAAGACAATCGACACACCTTAGAAGACAACTATAAGCTTACTAAATATTCAACATGTTTACCTACACATACATAACCAAGTTTCTATCTGCGCACGCTTGCATATGTGTCATGTTGTCAGGCTTGTAAACATATGCACACCACCTAGCGACTGGCTATCTTTATAGACCATCTAATTCATATGCCTGACAGATTGTTGCCAATTAATTAGAGAGCCGATTCAAGCACATTAAAAGCAGGCAGAGTCTACCAAAGGGTGAAGTGTCAGTAGAAGAAAGAGTTCATGCGAACTGAAGCACATGCAAGTGCATAACAAGGATTGGCTTCGATTTGCTCTAATGAAATATGACAGCAGTTTAGGTGGGCCTATCACACATGTGTGGTGTAAATGGACATGTTCTTAGCACATTGAACTCCATTATCTATTTTCTGTATCTTTTTTGTATTAATTGTAACACTGGACTACATAAGAAATTTGTTTCAAGTAACTGTAACCGGCAGGTGGTGGCAGTCAGCTAGTTGGTTGAGACTGCATCCATATAAGTATCAACCGGCAGGACTTTGGGTCTAGGCCTAAAGCATAAAGTTTTAAAACGAGGGTTGTTCTAATGTTAGTTGAAGCTCGGAAAATAGTATGAATTTTTTTTTTGTGATTTTACAAAAATATATAAAAAAATCAATAAACTTTATGTAGACTATTTTAATCTAGTGGAACTTTTGATCTTCAATCAACTCTCTATAGACGACTTTAATCTTTTGGAAATCTCTATAGAGGAACTTAATCTCCTAGAACTCTTCCTTTTGGAGAACCTCATAGAGGTATAAGCGCTCGATACCTTAATAACCTAGTTTACATTATACTTAAACCACTAGATTTCAAAGTATCAATTTTTACATAAGACATAAAGTGTGGACTGAAGACTACTGAAAAATAATATAGTGTTTAATTATTAAATATAATAGTATGTTTAGGAATTTCAAATTATTAACATTGTGCCTAGGAGGATGGAGTCATGTGTAGAAGTTCACGCAAGTGAGGAAAGTTTTCTGATCGCCATTCACGTGGGAGTGGCCAGAAACGATTCTTTTACATATGACTCAA